GTTTGAAATACATTGTTCCATGACCTTCTTGCTTTCAGAGTCTGTGATGAAAAATCCATTGTTAACCTTATTGGTTTACCCCTGAATGTAATCTGCCTCTTTTCTCTTGTAGCTTTTAATATTTTCTCTTTGTTCTGTATATTGGATATCTTCATAACAATGTGTCTTGGCATAGGTCTACTGTGATTTTGCGTGCTCGGTGTCTTGTATGCATCTTCAATTTGTATATCTGTTTCCTTTTTTATTTCTGGAAAGTTTTCTGTAATTATTTCATTCAGCAGGTTACTCATTCCCTTGCTTTGAATCTCTGTACTTTCTTCTATCCTGATGACTCATAAGTTTGGTTTTTTTATGTTATCCCATAACTCTTGGATGTTTTTCTCATGATTTTTTACCAGCCTTTCTGAGTTGGCTAGACTCTTTTCAAGATGATATATTTTGTATTCATTATCTGACGTTCTGGCCTCTACTTGCTCCACTCTGTTAGTGATACTCTCAATTGAGTTTTTAATTTTGTTTATCGTTTCCTTCATTTCTAGAATTATTGTTTGATTATTTTTTATAATCTCTATCTCTTGATAAAGATGCTTAACTTCTTCTTTTATCTGTTTATATAATTCATTCTCAATGTGTTCTTTCGCTGCTTAAATTTGCTGACTTGTATCCTCTTTAAGGTTCCATTCCATCTGTCTAAGGTGTTCCTTGAGTTCTTTATATGGCCATTTTTCTGATGACTCTAGGTCTTCCTTAATATTTAGGCTGTCTTGAATTGTTTGTACTCCTTTTCTTCCTTGCTTTTTGAAGCTGCTCATGTTACTTCTTGTTCTGTTTGACTGCTGAGTTACTGTTTACTCCTATGAATTTATTTGATGCTTGGGAGGAATGGTATTAGAAGGGAAGGGAAGAAGTCACTAAAGAGAATGCGAGTAAGCAGGTAGAATTCAAGGAAGGGGGGATAAGAAAATTGAAGAGAAAAGAAAAGACAAAAGAAGAAAAAAATAGGAAATAAAAAAAGGAAAAAAATTAAAATTAAAATTAGAAGAAAAAAATGTTTTTTAAAAAATTGTTAAAATAAATTAAAAAAACAACAGGAAAGAAAAATGAAAATGAAAGAAAAAACCTAAATCAAAAAAAAAAAGAGAAAAGAAAAAAAGAAAAATATAATAATAAATGCAGTCTTAGAGTTTGATTAACTTCTCTTCCAGTAGGTGGCGCTGTGCCCACCAGGCCAAGTTTCTACTGTCAATAGGTGGGAACAAATCACTGTGCAGCAACTCCTCCTCCCAGACTGGGCGAGTCTCCAATCCTGAGTGCCTAGGGCCTCCTCTTGTGTCTAGTCACTCCCCCACTTTTCCTCTAGCCAGGCCCCTCTCACGGGTGCCGCTCACCACAATACTGGCTACACACCAGGTCTGCTGCTCCCGGGAGCCCTGTTTTCATGAACGACTGGGTACACTCTCCCAGTTTGCCTTTCCCTCAGTCCCTAAGTTTGTAGAGCTTGGGGCTGAGAATCCTCAGCGAATTTTACTTGCCCTCCGGTAGCCACGCCCCCGGTAGCTGATGCAAGAGACCTCAGCTGTCAGCTCTGGTGGGAGCGGTAATTTTGCACCGCAGGTCCCGGGCCACGTCTGATTCCCTCCGTGTGGGGGAGCTGGGAGGGGCCCTATGTTTCCCCGATGTGTGGAGAGGGAAGACTAGGGAATTACACACCTGCAGCTGCAGGTTTCAATGAAGTTATCTCCTCTGCCGCAGTCTGATGCCGTCAGTTCTCTGCCATGGTGGTATCTCTTGCAAATGGCGACAGTTCGTTTCCCTTTGCCCGGTGACCAATGTAACGGGTGGGTCCTTACTGTCTCTCCCAAGCCCCGTTTCAAACCTGTGGCCACTACCTATGAAGGCTCGGTTGGCATTTACCTCCGTGGGATCAGAGGGGCTGACCAGTTGTTTCAGCCGGATGGATTAGTGCTGAGTCACAGCTGTTTGTCTGCAGGAAGCAGGTGAATGGGAGCTTGAATTCAGCTGATCCGGGCTCAGTGTGTGTTCTGAGAGGCCCAGACTGTTCGCCCCAGATCCACGTCAGCTCAGCATTGCCTAGTGATCCTGAGCAAACAGAATTTAGGTTGTTTACGACTCCCTATGCCCACACAGCTGAAGAGGTCAGAGACTTGATCTCTCCACACCAGCCGCCTCACTGAATTGTTTCCTGACTAGAACAATTTAAGAAGAGAAAAAGTTTACTTGGGGGCTCATGGTTTCAGAGGTCTTAGTTCATAGTTAGCTGGTTCCATTCGTTGATGCTCAAGGTGAGGCAGGATTTGGCAGCAGAAAAGTGTGGTGGAGGAAAACAACTCACATTATGATCAGAATGCAATGAGAGAGGGAGAGCTCTATTTGCCCAATACAAATATATACCCAAAGCCATGCCCCCAATGACTGCCCTCCTTCAGCCACACTCCTCCTGCTCCAGTTACAACTCAGTTAATCCTATCAGGGGATTAATCCACTGATTGGGTTAAGTCTCTTACAACCCAATCATCCTCTGAACCCACTATTCTTATCTCACATGTGAGCTATTGGACACCTCACACCAGAGTATAACATGTACTAATTAAAAGCATGTATAAATAAATGGAAAGGATATCAGTAGAATAGAGGGAGAGGACCAATGGGAGGAGTAAGGAAAAGGAAAGGGGAAATACTGGAGAATAATATGGAACAAATTATGTTATGTGCATATATGAATATGTCACAATAAAATCCAGTATTATATATAGTTATAATGTACCAATAAAACAAAAAAGGTTTAATTGAACCTCATTTTAATTTTCTAATAAAAGAGAATCAAAAGTTATCAATACAGTAAAACTGCCAAGTTATAAAGATGAACAAAAAAGGGAACAAAAAATATTCAAAACAACTGGAAGAAAATTAAGAGAATGTAGGAGGAAATCCTTACCTATCAACAATAACCTTGAGTATAAATGGACTAATCTCTCCAGTGAAAAGATATAGGTTAGCAGAATGAATAAAAAGATGGAACCCAACAATATGGCCCCCATAAGAAACTCCCTTCTTCAGTAAAACACACAAATTGAAAAAGAAAGACATTCTAAGCAAATGGAAATCTAAAACAAAGAGCAGTAGCAATAACTATATCTGATATAATAGATTTTAGGACAAAAAGTATAAGCAGAGACATAGAAGATCACTATATAATGACCCTTCAACATTGTTTATGGTAGTACAATTCACAGTAGCTAAGTTATGAAACTAGCCTAAGTATCCTCAATCTTTTTATTTTTTTCATATATTTGTTAGTCATTTGCATGTCTTCTTTATAGAAAAGTCTGTTTAGCTCACTGTCAATTTTACATCTCAGAGCCCTAGAAAAGAAAGATGACCCTTTATCATTATATAGTGACCTTCTTTGTCTCTTATAGTTTTTATGCTAAAGTCTATTTTATCATATAATATAATAATTCAACAGATGATATAATAATTATAAATCTATATTCACCTAATATTGGAGCACCTAGTATTACCAAATATATGCTATTAGACCTAAAAAGGGATATGGACTCCAACCTAGTAATCACAGAGGACTTCAACACCTCACTTTTATCAATAGAACATCCAGACTAAGAACAAACAAAAAAAGCAAAACAAAACAAAACAACAGGATTGGGGTTGTGGCTCAGTGGCAGAGCACAAGCCTCACACATGTGAGGCACTGGGTTTGATCCTCAGCACCACATAAAAATAAAACAAAATAAAGATATTGTGTCCATGTATAAATAAAAAATATTAAAAACAAAACAACAATAACAACAACAAATATCAGGTTGAACTACATTGTACACTAAATGTACATAACAGAAACTTATAAATCATCCCATTCAACAGCTACAGAATACACATTCTTTTCATTGGCACATGGAACTTGATCTAGAACAGATTATATATTAGGCCACAATGCAAGCCTTAACAAATTAAAAAAATGGAATCATATCATGTATGTTTTCTGATTATAATGGAATAAAACTAGAAGTCAACAAAAGAGAAAATTTTGAACTGGGTTGTGCATGCCTGTAATCCCTGCAGCTTAGGAGGCTAAACCAGGAGGATAACAAGTTCAAATCCAGTCCCAGAAACTTAGTGAGGCCATAGGCAACTTATCAAGATCCTGTCTCAAAATAAAAATAGAGAATGAACTGAGATGTTGTTCAGTGGTTAAGTGTCCTTGGGTACACACACACACACACACACACACACACACACACACACATATATATATGAAATTATACAACTGCATGGAGACTGCATAACACACTTTTGAATGAACAAAAGAACATTGGGGAAAAAAAAGATTATTTTTTTTGAAAGAACAGAACACACCAAAACTTATGGAATATAGCAAATGCAGTACTAAAAAGGAAGTTTATAGCCATAAGTGACTATATAAAAATAGAAAGATTTCAAATAAACAACCTAATGATGCATCTTAGTGATTTAGAAGAGCAAAAAAAGAACAAACTCCAAATTAGTAGAAGGAAAGAAGATCCTCAAAGATTAGAGCAGAAATAAATGAAATATAGAAAAATGTCCAATAGAGATGATCAATGAAACAAAGACTTGGTATTTGAAAACATAAATTAAGTTGACAAACCTTTAGGTAGAAGAACACAGTAAAGATCCAAGTTTATCAAAGATGAAAAAAGAGAAATTATAAATTACATCACAGAAATACAAAGGGTCATTACAGATTATCATGAGAAACTATATAAAAACAAATTGGAAAACCTAGAGGAAGTGTACAGGTTTCTATACACATATGACTTACTAAAGCTGAACCACAAGGACATAACAAACTTGAATAGATGAATAACACGTAATGAGATAGAATCAGCAATAAATCATCTCCCAACAAAGAAAAGCCTAAAACTGGGTGCCTTCATTGCCAAAATTTACCCAAATTTTACAGAACTCATGTCAGCTTTTCTGAAATTATTTCAAAGAAATTAAATAGAAGCAACTCTTCCAAACTCATTCTATGAGGCCAGTGCTACTCTATTACTAAAGCAAGAGAAAGACGGAACAACAACAGAGGAAACTATAGACCAATATTCTTAATGAACATAAATGCAAAAATTCTCAATAACATGCTAGCAAATTGAATTCAGCACTTCAACAGGGCATCAAAAATATTATTCTCCATGAAGTAGTTGGTTTTATGCCAGGGATACAAGGATGATTCAACATATACAAATCAATAAGTAACATAGTACATTAACAAAATTAAGGATAAAAAATCACATAATCATCTCAATAGATACAGCAAAATCATTTTAATAAGATTTAATATATCTTTATGAAAAAACCCAGAACAAATTTGATTTAAAAGGATTGAACCTTAACAAGTTAAGGTACAATCTTAATAAGTATATATGACAAACAATAAATACATATGAAAAATTCACAGCTAACATTGGTGCATGGAGAAAAGCTGAAAGCATTTCCTTGAAGATCAGGAACAAGCCAAGAGTGTAGACTATTACTACTGTTATTCAATTATGACTAATTTTTTTTTGCCAGAGCAATTAGGGAAAGAGAGAAAGAAAAGTTTATGAGTAGAAAGGGAGGAATTCAACTTATTCCTGTCTGCAGATTAGAATTCTGTATATAGAAATACTCTTTGATGTGCCTTTGCCTGGTTTTGGGATCAAGGTGATATTGGCCTTATAGAATGAGTTTGGAATGAGTGCCTCTTTTTCTGTTTCCTGAAATAAATTGAAGAGTATTGGTATTAGTTGTTCTTTAAAGATCTTGTAGCACTTGACTTTGTATCCATCCCGTCCTGGGCTTTTCTCGGTTGGTAGGCTTCTTATGGTGTCTTCTATTTCATCACTTGATATTGGTCTGTTTAAATTGTGTATATCATCTTGATTCAATCTGGGCAAATCATAGGAATTAAGAAATTTATCGATGCCTTATATGTTTTCTATTTTATTGGAGTATAAGTTTTCAAAATAATTTCTAATTATCCTCTGTATTTCTGTAGTGTCTATTGTAATATTACCTTTTTCAATCACATATGCTGGTAATTTGAGTTCTCTCTCTCCTTGTCTTCATTATCATGGCTAAAGGTCTGTCAATTATATTTATTTTTTTTCAAAGCAAAAAGTTTCTTCTCAGCAAAAGAAACAATCTATGAGGTGAACAGAGAGCTCATGCTGGGAGCAAATTTTTACCCCTCACACATCAGATAGAGCACTAATCTCTAGGGTGTATAAAAAACTCAAAAAGCTCAGCACCAGAAAAACAAATAACCCAATCAACAAATGGGCCCAGTATATTGATTGTATATCCCAGTAGAGATATACAATCAATCAACAAATATGTGAAAAAATGCTCATCATCTCTAGCTATCAGAGAACTGCAAATCAAAATTACTCTAAGATATCATCCCACTACAGTCAGAATGGCAGCTATTATGAAGAAAAACAACAATAAGTGTTGGTGAGGATGTGGGGTAAAGGTTACACTCATACATTGCTGGTGGGGCTGCAAATTGGTTTAGCCAATATGTAAAACAGTATGGTGATTCCTTGGAAATCTGGGAATAGAACCAGCATGGAATTTTCCTCATCATTAAAAAAGAACAAAATCATGGAATTTGCAGGTAAATGGAGAAGATAAAGCTAAGTGAAGTTAGCCAATCTCCTAAAAAACAAATGCCAAATATTTTCTCTGATATAAGGAGGATAATTCTTAGTGGGGTAGGGAGGGGGAGCATGGGAGGATTTGATGAATTCTAGGTAGGGCATAGGGGTGGGAGGGAAAGGAAGGGCGCAGGGGATTAGCAAGGACAGTGGAGTGTAATTGACATCATTATCTGAAGTACATGTATGAAGACTCGAATTGGGTGTCAACATACTTTATATACAAACAGAGATATGAAAATTTTTGGTATATAGGAGTAATAAGAATTGTAATGCAAAAAAGTACATGTATAAAGGCATGAATTATCATGAACATACTCTGTATACAAAGATATAAAAAAAAGTACTCTATGGGAAATAAGAATTGTAATGCATTCTGCTGTCATGTATTAAAAACATAAAATCAATAAAAATTATTAAAAAATATTCAAAGACTCCAGAAAAAGTATAGTAGCACTGGTAAATGAATTTAGTAAGTAGCAACAGACATCAACAAAATCAATTAACAGAAGTAGTTTAGCAGGAAGCGCTTGCGCGCCCCGCGTTCAGGTAGCGCAGGCACTAAAAGTTTCCCGGGACCGGTGGGTGTGCGCGTAAGGACCGCACCCCCAGCGCCTCCCCGGACCTGGGCAAGCACTCGCCCCTGGCGCTGCTGGCCGCCACCTGTAGCCAGATCGGCCAGCCAGGCACGTCAGCGGCCCCAGACTTCCTGCAGGTGCCCTAAGACCCAGCGCTGGGCTCACCCTCCAGGCTCTTCCACCCCTGGACCGCGGACATGCCGGCGCATTCACCGGGCGCGCTGCCTCCCCCGCATCCCAGCCTTGGGCTGACGCCACAGAAAACGCACCTGCAGCCTTCTTTTGGGGCTGCACACGAGCTACCACTCACACCCCCAGCTGACCCCTCGTATCCCTACGAGTTCTTGCCGGTCAAGATGCTGCCCTCGAGCATGGCAGGTCTGCCTGCCAGCTGTGCACTGGCCTACGTGCCCTACGCTACGCAGGCTGCCCTACCGCCGGGGTACTCCAACCTCCTACCCCCGCCGCCGCCACCGCCTCCGCCGCCCACCTGCCGCCAGTTGTCCCCCAACCCGGTCCCCGACGACCTCCCGTGGTGGAGCATTCCTCAGTCGGGCGCTGGGCCAGGGGCCTCTACGGTTCCAGGGGGCGGCCTCTTCAGCGCCTGTGCCGGGCCCCCCCATGCTCCGCGCTTCCCTTCCTCTGCTGCCGCTGCCGCTGCTGCGGCCGCCGCCTTGCAAAGGGGCCTGGTGTTAGGCCCGTCGGACTTTGCGCAGTACCAGAGCCAGATCGCCGCGTTGTTGCAGACCAAGGCCCCCCTGGCGGCCACGGCCAGGAGGTGCCGCCGCTGCCGTTGCCCCAACTGCCAGGCGGCGGGCGGCGCCCCTGAGGCGGAGCCGGGCAAGAAGAAGCAACACGTGTGCCACGTGCCGGGCTGCGGCAAGGTGTACGGGAAGACGTCGCATCTGAAAGCGCATCTGCGTTGGCACACGGGTGAGCGGCCCTTCGTGTGCAACTGGCTTTTTTGCGGCAAGAGCTTTACGCGCTCAGACGAGTTGCAGCGGCACCTGCGGACTCACACCGGCGAGAAACGCTTCGCCTGTCCCGAGTGTGGCAAGCGCTTCATGCGGAGCGACCACCTTGCCAAGCACGTCAAGACGCACCAAAATAAGAAGCTCAAAGTTGCTGAGACCGGGGTTAAGCGGGAGAACCCGCGGGACTTGTGAGCCCATCCTGGCGTGCCCCGAGGTCACTCCCGCCTCAGACCCCCTTCTCAGTACCTCTTGCGGAGGTCCCGGGGTCTGTGGGCAGCAGACTTAGTAGATGAACTTCAGTTGTCCGCCTCTCAAAGTAGAGCCGGGCTCCCACTTTCCTTAGCCCTAGAATAGAGGGACGGTTGGGATCTGGGACTTGTTGGGTCATGGTTGGGATCTTGAGTTACCCCAGGAGTGGTTCTAAACTTTGAATCATTTCCACCATCTGGGAGACCTACCGTTGGGACGTAACACCCAGAGCTGGCCTTGTATATAGGAAACGCTGCTGAATGAAAGCGAAAGGACCTTGGGAGATTTTAAATATTGCTCGGGTTTTCGCTAGGATTCATTCGGACTTTGTACAGATTATTTAATAGCTTTGTTAAAGAATAATTATAATAATTATAACATTAATAAAATGTTTTCTTTGTCCTCAGCTACACGCAGAGCTACAGCATGATATGTCTCTGTAAAGCGACCAGCAGTTGCAGCGTGAAAATAAATACGTTAGGGTCACCTTAGGAAGACCCCGCAGAGTGGATCTCATTTGATCTTTTCTTCTTCCGGGAGGCTTTACAAAGCGGTCAGGTTTCACTGGGAATTTGATGGCTCCTGTGTGCTGCATGTGTCGGCGGCTTCTTTGGCTTGCGAAGTCATGGCAAGCATTGGGTGCATGGATAGAAGTAGGGCAAGGTCAGATTTGTAGTAGAGGCTAGGGTAAGATTTTCCTGTCAGTTTGAGTTTGTCCTGCGGCTTTAGGACTTCACTGTCAGGGTTGTGTTTGCAGAAACCTTTGCAAATAACAATAACCATTCTTTTTCTTAAGTGGCGAATTCCCTGAGGCTTTCCATTTGTTGGTACTCTCAGGACAGGTCACATACAGGTGCTCTATCTCCCTGGAGTTTGGTTGTACTGGGGTCAGGGAGACAGATTGTAAGAATAGATAGATGTAAGAATCTGTTCACAGGGTGAGATTTTGGAGTTAAAGGGAACAGAGAAACTGGGGACCCTAGTTATGGTTGTTCCTTGCCTGGAAGAGAACCAAAAATATAACCATTCCCAGGTGTCACTTCCATATTTCAGCCCAGTCAACATTTACAACTACTGTCTTGCTTGCTTCTTAATCTTTTTGCTATGAAAATATTAACAAGTCTTGTATCAAAGTAACTAACTAGAAATATCTGGTTAGGCCACGACATTTAATTCCATTTTGTATCTTGGGATTTTATTTTGTTTTTTAATCATCAGAGTAGACTAAGATTATTCTCAGGGAGGACCTTACAGCTTGGAAATGTGGAAACAGGATATTTTTTATCTCAACTTCTCTTTCTCTAAAATTTGAAATTTTAAAGTTTATAGTGTGTTTTTCAAGTGTCTCAACTAACTTATTGGTGTTTGCTAATATTTGAATTTTACACCTGAAACTTGAATCTTAATGAACAGTTAAACCTTTTGATTTAGAATTAGCAAGAAGAGATAAAACAGAAAGGAAATGGCTTAAATTTTTTTAATATTTTAACATCATAAATGACAAATTTCAATAATCTTTTCATAATAGAGGTGTATGTAAATGGATAATATTTCACAACTTACAAATTACTGCTACCTTTGTATTTTGTTTGAAATCAAAGAGTAAATGCTTAAAAGTTAACAGGGTTGGTCTTAAGACTTGCATTAAATAATATTCCAACATGAACATAATTGAGATGAAAATTACTTTTATACTCCTAAGAAATAGAATTTTACTATATAATGGACAAGATAACAAATGAATATTAGATTCTTTGTGGAAGTATGCCTTGGAGCCATTTACTTTCATTTTAGATTTTGGAACTATTTAATGACATAGGAATGTGAGTGGTTCTGTTTCTTCACCTAGGAGAGGCAATTTAAGCTTAATTTTCAAGGGTGTGGCAGTTTTGCAAGCAATAAGAATAAATTTGCTAAACAGTAATATACATGTAAATGTGTATTCTTCATCTAGACCTATTCTAGTTAATCAGTTTAATCTTGATTTAGATGGAGAGTACACATTTACTTGTACAACTCAATGTGAGGAGTTACAGAAACTCTCATTCCATGAAGTTACAGAAAGTCTCACACCTGAAACATGCCCTAAGATCAACTTCAGAATCAGAAAAGGTTTCTTGGCAGGTGATGGGGAAAGGAATCCTTGTGAGAGAGTGAAAAGACTAAGGGCTTTGAACTCAGGAAATTTGAAGTGATTATCACATATGAGAGAATGCCTTTGGTAGAAAAGAAAAACAGCAATTTTGAAATGAGTCTAATGGCTATTACTGACAGGTATGATTTATATAGTATTCAAAGGGATGAAGTGTTGAGAATAAAGTTCAGTGAAAATAGCTATAAAGTGTGGAATTTAAAATCTAAACCGATGAGGTATTGAAGATAGTTTTCTTATAACCATGTGTTTGTTTAAAGGACAAGGTAAAAGGTATGGAATTTACCAAAAATAAGGCACATATAATTTTAAAGCAAAACAAAGTCATTTATGGCAATAACTTTTTTTCTTATGGTTGAGCTTAATAGAACCTACAAATATTTTTAACTACAGTAAAATTCGTCTTTAACTTGATATAGCTGAAAACATGTTGCTCATTTACCACTGCAAATCTATACTCTAGTTACGTCAGAAAAAATTATTTATGCCATTTTCCAAGTGGAAATCAAGAAGCCATAATAATGTGATATTACTATCCAAGCATAGTAAGGAATTTCATGTTGATACTGAAAATAAGATATTAAATGCTCAAATGCAAGTTTGAAATGTATTAGTTTACAAGCTGTTAAAATTTGAACTGCTGCTGTATACTTTTTCAGAAAACTGCAATCAGAGTACAATTTAAAGCATGAAAATTATTTTTAAACATACCAGTATGCAAGAATTAGTATTATACATAACATGCGTAAGTATCATTGGAGCAGAAAAATTTAATGAAATTTAAATGAGAATTTTGGTAGCAAGCTACTATTAAATTCGACTAAATTTTTAAAATTGGGGTTTGCCAGCATCCAAAAACCAAGTTTAATTCACCAACTTTATTTGAGGCTTTACATAAAGATAGCACACAATTCAATTAAGTGTTAAAAATTAATTGAATATGCTAATATTGCCTAAAATGTCACTAGACTTTTTAGATTTTTAAAAGCAACTGTTTTGGTAGCATGCCAAATATAGAATGCCATATTTTAGAAAAATCTAAAAGTAGTGATATATTATTTTAAACTTTATACTCGTGAACCAGTGAAATCTTTTGATCAACAATATGGAAACAGAAATTGAGTTACCAGCAAATTAGCTAATTTGGAATGGTGTATTTATGAGCTTAACAGAGTTTTTTGCTTTTCTCAAGGGAAAATTATGTAAATATACCTTTCGCTAACCACTAATTTTTAATAGTTCTGGTAATGAATGAAAGTAAATTATGTTAAGGAAAATATAACTGTTATTCACCTCTATGTTAATCTTTTCTAGATTTATCTATAGAGTTTAAATCTTTTTTGAAATGCTGAAGGTCAAACCCAGAGCCACGAGCATGCTAGGTAAGCACCAAGCAACATCCCCAACCCCTAGAGTTTAAATCTATAACTATGTGGCTTATATTGTTTGTTTGCCTTAAGTTAAACAAGACATGTCAATTAAAATATTAATCTTGCTGAAGCATGATTCTTGCAGAAACCTATTTCAAACAATGGCATTTATAGAAAAAGCAGTTTCCACCTCAGGTTGCACTGTTTTGTAATACTATAGGTTTTTAAATCATCATTTTAAAGCAGCAGCATTTTTCATTTATTTTGGTTCTGTTGTGAGAGTTTCACAGAATGTTACAACAGAAGTAGCTAAGACTTCAAATTCACGCAAATACCTACCAAGTTATATAGGTTCTAAAATTGCAAATCTCTTTAACTTGCTTTAGCTCATCACATTACATAATGGCAAAGTTGACAGTGTCTCCTTAAGAAATGGTTTGTATTAAGGAATTAAATTCATACTTTAAGTAAAAAAAAAACAAAAAAACACAAAATCAATTAACAAAAATCATTAGCATTTTTACACATATAATGAATTTGCTGAAAATAAATAATAAAAGAAATCCCATTCACAATAGCAAAAACCCAAACCAAACAAATAAATAGGAATAGGAATAAAATTAACCAAGGAAATGAAATTTCTCTACAATGAAAAGTACAAAATACTAATGAGAGAAAATGAAAATGACACAAAAAGATAGAAAGATCTCCCATGTTCATGAATTGGAAGAATTAATACTGTGAAAATATTCATACTATTTAAAACAATTTGCATATTCATTTCAGTCCCCATCAAAATACCAATGACATTCCTCACAAAACTAGAAATATCAGTCCTAAAATTCATATGGAACACAAAAGATCCTGAATAGACAAAACAGTCAAGGAAAAACAACAAAGCTGGAGACATCACAATACATGCTTTTAAGACATACTTCAGAGCCATAGTGACCAAAACAGCTTAGTATTGGTATAAAAACAGGCATATAGACCAAAGGAACACAGTAGAGATTTCATGAATAAATACATCTATCAACAGTGTTCTTGACAAAGGCAGCAAAACATACATCCAGAGAGGGCAGCTTCTTCAGTCAGTGGTGCCAGGAAGACTTGAAGCCCACACACAGAAAACTGAAACTTGATCTGTCTCTTACCCTGTACAAAAATAAACTCAAGATGGATTGAAGATCTATATTTAACTATGTATGAAATTACTAAAAAAAACATGGGGAAAAATTTTCAAGGCATTAATGCAGGGAATGATTTTCTGGATAGAACCCCCAGAGCACAGGAAGCAAAGGCATAAATTGACAAATGAAATTACATCAAACAATAATATTCTGCACAGCAAAGGAAATAATCAACAGAGTACAGAGACAACTTACAGAATGGGAGAAAATAATTGCCAAATATTTATCTCAAAGATAGTTCACATTAAAAACATAAGGGATTCAAAAAACTTAACAAAAAGAAATCCAATTTAAAAATGGGTAAATGATCTGTGTAGATCTTTCTCATAAGAAAAATAAAAATGACCAACAAATCTATGAAAAAATGCTAAATATCATTAGTTATCAGAGAAATGTAAATCAAAATTGCAAAGAAATACTATGTCATCCCAATTGCTATGACTATTGCTTTAAAAGAAAAAGCAACAACAGATGTTGTTGAGGATGGGGTGAAAAGGAGCTCTTATACACTATTGGTGGGAATGTGAATTATTGTAATTATTATAGAGAACAGTATGGAATTTTCTCAAAAATATAAAACCAGATATACCATGTGATATTTCCATCCAACTTCCAAATATGTATCCAAAGGAAATCAAATCAGTATGGCCAAAAGATACCTGCACAACCATATTTATTGCAGCACTACTCAAAATAGCTAAAAT